CCAGCAGACGCAGCCCCTCTCCGGGACCAGCACGGACGTGACCCCTGCACCGGTCCCTTCCCAGCCACCACCGCGGGGACGGGCCTGTACCTTTCACGGTGATTTCTTTGATCTTTTTGGTTTTCTCATCGATCCACTTCTCCCGCCTGATTTTCTCAGTGGCGCTCATCAGCTCCTTCAGTTTCTTGATCTCCTGTTTGGAAGGAAACGGGAAAGCTTCAGAGACAGGCTAGGGGAGGGGAAAACCCCTGTTAGCCCGGGAGCCTGGCTGTCGAGAAGGAAGTTGGAGGCAAGAGCAGCCAGCCCAAGCTGAGCACAGACGACTCGCACAGCCCTGGCCAGGCACGTTCTCCCAGCCCAGAGAAGCAGCCGTACGCTCCCCCAGCGCCTTCTCTCTCTCCCAGGATGGGGCTGCTGCTGCCCTGGGACTTGAGCACGGGGGAAAAAAAAGAGCAAAACCCTCTGGAAAGCACTCGCTGACTGAGACAGGAGAGCACCTACAGAGCGGAGAGGGCAATTCGGGGCTGCCGACGGTCCTTGTGTGCAGGACAGCCCATCCGTCAGCAGAGACGGGGTTGTGTGTGACGCTGCTTCCTTCTCCAGCCTTCCCTCTCCCGGCATGGAAGGCCCGACAGGCAGGCAGGCAGACCTCCCAACACCATGCTACCACCGCAGACCAAGCCCCTGCAGCACCCCAAAACTCTTCAAAGGACTTGGAGGCTGCACAGCCCAGGCACAGGCACTGCTCTTGCTTCCTCCTCTGCCTCCTTTTACCTCCTCAGCCCTCCTCTCCAGCAAAAAACCTGGAGAAACACCCAGGCCCTGCTGCCCACCCAGCTCTGCCATCGGCAAAAGCCGGTCGAAGCGCTCGACCATGTCTTTCTGCGCCAGGGTTTCTGGTGAGCAAGGCACCAGGTGATGGAAGGCCAGAGGCGGCTCCGTTTCAGCAGGGGCAGACGATGACCACGTGCAGGACGTGGGACATGTCACAGCTCTGGGGTACGAGCGTGGGGCTGGCCCCCCAGGAGCTCGTTACCTGGCCACTGTGCGGAGAGGAGCGGGGGGGGACCGCCCACACAGCCCAGGACTGGCTTTTAGAGAAAAAAGGGCAGGAAAATCCGCAGGGGAAAACAGGGAGAGCCTGAAGGCAGCAGCCGAGCACGTGGGTCTGGGGAGATGGGGTGAAGGGGCTGCTTCACGGGGCTGACCCAGCTGCCGAGCGGGGAATTCACAGCCCAGCCCTGCGGAGCTGGAGCGGGTCGGGATGTGAGAGCAGAAGGGCAAGGCACAGAAAAAATTTTTAAAAAAAAAAAAAAGCAAAAGACCACATTTACCTCGCAAAAGGGGCCCAAAGTGCGCCAGACCTGGGGAGAAAGAAAGGAGGGGATGGAGAGAGAAGGGGAATCGCAGACTCGGGGTGGGGAGAGGGAGATGGGCAAAACCAAACAGCCGTGGGTGCACGGGAGGGCAGACGGGGAGGCGGGGGTCCCCCGGGAGCGAGGGGAGGCACAGCCAAAATCAGGCAGCGACACAGATGGCGCCGAGGGCCCCGGCAGCACCGGGACAAGGGCAGAGCCAGCCCTGCCGGGGAGCCTGCTCTGGCAACCAGGGGACACCCACGGGGACCCACGTTAGTCGGTGGCTGTCCCCCACCAGGCAGAGGAAGCCAGGAGCCGTAGGGCAAAGCTGGGAACAGGGACAGCGAAGGGGCCACAGGGCAGAGACGGGCTCTCGGACCGTCCCCACCGCTGCTGCCCTGCTGCGAGCGGGGAGCGAGGCAGAAGGGAGGCGCCTCCTCTGCCCCACGAAGGCTGCAGGGGTGAAACCAGCCCCGTCCCTCCCCGGGAAGGGGCCCCTCCAGGCCCCAAGCACAGCAACACCGCGCTGGCTTCTTCCTCAGGCTCAAACAGTGAGGCCAAGCGAGCCTCCGCCTTGTCTGTCTGTCCAAACAGGCTCGGGCTGGTGCAGACTCCAGAGCCCCCGGGCAAGAGCTCAGCTGCAAGGCCAAGGGGGAGCAGGGAGCGGGGCAGCAGAGCCAGGAGGTGGCTGAGGGGTGAGCCAGCGGCCCCACTTTCCTGCCAGGCCCGGCACAGGGCGAGCCAAGCTGCCTCCAGCTGCAGGAGAGGGAACTCCCTGCACGCTCCCGAGGGAAGCTGCCAGCTGGTTCCCACGAGCGGGCAGCACGTCCTCACCAGGGAAATCTGGGTGCTGGGCAGGGCAACGGCCCAGCGAAACCCACAGAGGTCTGTTACTATTGCTCATGCACCCCATGTGGCTTCATCATCTTATCCCCATTCAGCTCGGAGAGTGTCCCCGCTCCTGCGAAGGGGGCTGGAAGTCACCCAGCTCAGGAGGATACGGCCACAGGTACGAATTCCTCTACAGCATCGGGTTTGTGCCAGCGCCTGCTCTCACCTCTGCCAAAGCAAGATCCCCCCGTCACCCCCCAGCCCGGGGAGAGCTCTGTCCACAGCAGGATGTGTGGGAAGGGTCCTTCCAAGCAGAGCCCCGGGGAGCTGGCACCGCCTCTTGGTCAGGCCCACGCACCTGGCTCGGGGCAGCAGAGGACAGCAGGGCTCTGGGGGAGCCAGGGCAAAGCTCTGGGGGTGACCCAGAGCTCCTGGGCACAGAGAAGGGCTCCCCAAAACGACCGAGCTCCACTGAGAGAGACCACGCTGCTCTGTGCTGGGGCCCCATTCGAGCAAAACCACGGCACACGTCCTCTCCCCGACTTCCCCCATCCCCTCACCAGCTCGTGCTGCTCCTGCATCTGGGTGATCTTCTTGCCGTACTTCTGGTCCACTTGTTTCAGCTCGGCTACCACAGCCTCGCACTTCTCACTCAGCACCTTCTTATCATCAATGAGCTGGGCAGGGTGAAGAGGAGGCATCAGGCAGCCCGGCAGGGTTCAGCCAGGTCAGCTTCTGCCTTCAGAAGCATCGGTCTGAGTCGGGATGAGAGCTTACCTGGTCGATGAAGGCCAGGTGCCTCTGGATCGCTGCCTCGTACTGTTCCCTCTGCAGCCTGAGCTGGTGGCTGAGCTCCTTCTCTGTCCGTTTGATGTGTCGGACAGTCAGTTCCCGCTGCTGAGCCTTTCGGATGTCGGGAAGAAACAGCCACAAGACGTTAGAGAGAGAAGTGACACCAGCCCCAGCACGCGTACGGGAGAGAACCACCGAACCTGGAAGGCCAGAACAAAGAGCTAAACCCAAGCCCCTGCTACTCACACCTCCCGCCGGGCTGTCAGCAACAACACCCAAACCCAGCACCTGACCAAGGGTTTCTGGACTAGTCAGGCACCTGCCCGGGAGGAGAGTTTGAGGAGGCCTTTCCACCCAGGGGGGCAGCAAGGGGAAATCGGAGCGAAGCCCGCACCAGACTGGGAAGGACCTCGCAGATCTTTCCCACGCTACCAGCGCCTGGGACCGCGGCCTCTGGCCCTCCGGCAGCTTGGCAGGAGCTGCGGGAGCGCTGCTTTGCTTCGCTGGGGACGCAGATGGGGAGGGCCTGTTCGCAGAGCCCTCATCTCGTGCTTCAAAAGCCGCTGCCCCAAGACACATCTGCTGAGGGCTCTGGGTCTTCATTCCCCAGCCAGCAAGCGCGCATCTGGCTCACACACCAGGGCTGTCTGCAGCAGGCCGATGGCTCGCTTCTTCTCCTCCACTTCCAGCTTCAGCCTCATGATGGAGCTTGTGACCTCCGTGGCAACAGCCGACGCCTGCTCCAAGTGAGCCAGCTCCTCTTCCGAGAGCAGACCCTGCCACAGCGGGGGGAAAAAAACCCGATTAGAAGGTGGTGGGGCCCACCTGGAAGCAGGAGGAGACGGGAGACCCTTCCCCACCAGGGCTTCGCACCACCTCTCGGACACAAACCAGGCTCTCGCTTCAGCGCTCACCTCCCGCTGCGTGGCCGAGGCGGCCGACCTGGGCCTCTCCTGTTCCGACTTCTCCATCTCATCCAGGAAGCTGATGATGCTTTGGAGCTTGGCTTCCGAGAGCAGGGCCCCTTCCTCGGGGACCCCCGGGGAGTGGTTTAGCTTCCCAAACTTCTCCAGGTTATCAGCAGTCAGGGAATTGGAGCTGGGCTCCTGCTGGGCAGACACAGCTGTGAACGAGCAGCCAGGGGAAGGGCTCGGGAGAAGAGGTGCTGGCTCTTCTCCATCGCTGCAGCCCAGTCTTCCCACTGCACCCCAGTAACCAGCCTTCTCTCCTGTGCTAACTCCACTCCTGCCACAGCCCTCACGTGGGTTTGCTCCTCCTTGAGGACACCCAGGCAGCCCTGGCTCTGCCAAACCCCTCTGCTGCCTTCTCTGGCAGTGATCCCCCTGCCTTCCCCACGCTCCACCACCCAGCAAGCACTGGGAGAAGGCAGCCATCACCATCTGAGGGTGGATGCGACCAGCCTCAGCCCTCTGCTTACCCCGTCTATCCAGGCGTATCTGTCCTTCTTGAAGAGCTTCGGGGGGGGCAGCAGCTCTGGTTCTTCCTCCAGCAGCCTGAGCGTGTCCAGCAGCTCATTGAGCGTGACCTTGGACTGCACCCTGCTGCCAGCCGGCACCACCATCTCCAGGTCCTCACTACCCGGCTCTCTGGAGCTCACATCCTGGGGGAGCAGACGACGCACCTTGCGGTAAAAAGAGTTTGCCGGATCTCCCCAGAAGTCAACAAAGGCTCCAAAGCCGCCCCGGCAGAACCGCTGGTGCCAGGAGCCCCGGGAGGCAAAGCCAGACCCACCTGCAGCTTGTCCTCTGCCCCAGGGTCCCGCCAGGGCACGGAGCCGAGGTCTGCGAGGCTGCTTTCTTCTGGCTCCGCAGCTGCCGAGTGGAAATTGGCCTCTGCAGGAACCAGACTGTTCTCAGGCGTTCGGAACAGCACGCTCCCACCAGGGC